GCCGGCAGGCAGGGGGCAGGTGAATGTGGGGTCCCAGCAGGTACACATGTCCCCGCCATCAGTACAGTGGTGGCAGGGACGCAGGCAGTTGCACCCAGTACTTGTGTAAACTCAGACAGCACCCATGGCCTCATCCTGCTCCCCTCTGTGGCAGGTCGAGGTGAACGTGTGCCAGGGGATGTACACACACCGATGGGGTGGATGCCTCTGCCCCTGCCCAGGAGCTGCTCCTGCACCCCAGGCCACTGTCACCTGGGCACAAGGGCCCCTGGGACCTGTGTCCCACCCCCGGTGCTGCACCTGTACCCCTCAGGCATACCTGCCAGAGCCCTCACAAGGGAGGGGTGAGGGTGGGACAGACCATGGAGGTGGGTGCAGGGCATGGCTGGCTGCTGCCAGGTGCCAGTCCTTCTCACCTTGGCCCTCCCAGCGTTTCCGTCCCAGCCGCCTGGACCCTGGTCTTCCCTCTTTGCTTCCTTGCACAATCCCAGGATGTCCCCTAGTGTCTTACATCTGCAAGGGGGGAACCCTGCTGTCCTCAGGCTGTGCCGGTGTTGGGTGCCAGCATTGGGTGCCCCCCTGATGGGGGGCTGAGGCTCCCCTGGGACAGCATCCCTTCTCCCCCCACTGCATGCCAGTGCCTCTGCCCCACTATGGGTGTGGGGTAGCCCTGGTCCTGCCATGCCTGGGAAGACTCTGTGGGGACAGACCTGGGGACCAAAGGGACAGGATTGGGCCCAGAGGCATGGGCTGGTGAGCCCAGCTCTGCCCCCACATCTGCCTGTCCTGTGTCACCCCGGGTACTGGGCGGGGGGGACAGCCTGCCCTGGCACTGAGGTATGTGGTGGTGCAGGAGGGGTCAGGGACAGGGGACCTTTCTGGGGAAGGAGATGAGCAAAAGGTCAATGACCCACTTTAAATAAATAAATAACAACAAGCGAATCCCTCCTGTCGCCACCAGGGACCCAACTGTCCTTCAGGGAGCCTGGCACAGCCTGGCGTGGGTGTGGGGGGACAGTCCCAGAGGCGCCTGGGCACAGAGGCCTGATTGTGTGCCTGTAAACAGGCAGAGGGGCGGGTGCAGGCAGCGAGTGGCAGGGCAGGAGCCACGGGACAGGCAGAGCACGTCAGGGTGTCCCTTGCCATCCCCTCGGTACAGGGATGGTGACACTAGGCATCATGCCTGGGGCCAGCAGTGCTGGAGAGATGGCCGTGGTGCTGTTCCTGGTGTATCCACCATCTCCTCCAGCTCTTCCTCTTTCAGTCTCAGCCTCCCCCAAAATCAGCAGCTCTGGGATGCAGCCATGCCTGTTCCACAGCCCTATGGCCACATGCTGGCAGGGTCCCTCTGCTTGCTGCTAGTCACTGGGCTGCTGTGGCTCTTTGCCAGAGCGTTTGCAGCCCCTGAGTGAGGCCAGCAGGGAGATGATGCTGCTGGGGACAGGAGAGCCTGATACTGTCGACTCTGTCCTTCCCGGCAGTCCTTGTCTGGTTAAAATGCCCTCTCCCTGCCCCGCTGGCACCTGGGCACTGTGGTGGGGGGTGCTGATGCTTTAGCGAGCACCTTTCCAGCAGCAGAGCTGGGGGCATATGGCAGCAGCAGGTTCTGGGGTCTCAGCACCAGCCAAGGGTCTGATCTGGCCCTGAAGCGAACTGAGGTTGGCTCACATTACCCTGTGCCTCAGTTTCCCCACCTGCAGTAGTTTCCTTCCAGCAGTGAGGGCAGTGCGGCAG